GATAAGGATATGGCTATGTTCCAGAGCACTGAAAACAGAAAAACAAGTCTCAATTCGGCATCAGTAGGGTAGGGTTTGGAGTATATTAACAGCAAAACCATTGTATGGACATTACCATGAAGTACTGAAATTGAACGTCCTTGTACAGGAGCATGGGAAAGATTTCAGTAAGTAATAGTAACTTCAGAAGAGACAGAATGACTACAGAAAAATTTGAGTACAGGAAGGGAGCTAGCATTAAAGTGCTTATAGATAATTCAGAGCTTGTTTAAAGACTGTTTTGAAGATTTAATGTAAATATAGGCTACTCATTAATAAAAATAAAAGAAGCCTTTAATCATGGTACTTGTAAAATTTCCTTTAGACGTCAGAGGAGGCTATGGAAACTACAAGACGACATCCTCAGAGTTCTGTGCAGTAGAATGGCTCAAACTAAAGCTAAGCCAAAACTGGCTTTTGAAAGTTGCGGAAAAATGTCATTGCATGCAGTGACTATGTAAAAAGTATTTTTAGACTTCATCAAATGCAGGAAACAAAGCATCAGTGGCAGGAAACAGGTTTTAGCGCACATTTCTTCAGAATAACTCACTTTAGTAGAGGACAGTTCAGACAAGCTGTATGGATTTGATGTTCAGTTACTTCAGTCAAAGTGATGATGCTAGGCAAGACCAAGATGCCATCTGGAATATTTTTGTTGACACTTCCTCACTTAACACCTGTAGCTCTGATGGCTTATGATGTTGAAGTCTTAATTGCAATGTAAAACCAGGTCTGTAGGAAGTCCATCTTTTCCTGGAAGAATATGATCCTCAACAACATGAACAGGAGGAGCTGCTGCAAGATGTTTCTATGTTTCTCCTACAACTTTTTTTTTTGCTAGGTTTGGTTTTTAATTTTAGGGATAGTGTCTTAAAATGACTCACCCAAGAAGGTCTACACTATCAGAGCAGTGTCTTAGGCTGTGGCTCTAGTGGTGTTCAGAGATAGGGTTTGATCAAGAAAAACTTTGTGTCATTCATTATGAAGCAGTCATCTGGCTATGAATGCCTACAATTCATGGGAAATCAAGGTAGCTACTGCTAGTATTAGTTCCAGAGTATTAAATATTTTATATATCATATGAGCTTGCCATCCCCACAGAGTCTGCAGCATGTTTGAAGGTCTTTGGGATATAGACATAAAGAGGAATTCCTTTGGAAAGGAAATGTTGTGCTTCAGAAGCACAGATTCAAAGGACAGAGTGCAGAACCTGTGTGGATAAAGCAAACAGTTTTATTACAGGCAGAAAACTCTGTACTATGAAACAACATACATCATATGCATGAAAAGATTTTTCGTCCACTAACTATTCAGAAAGTGGCAGAATACCATGCACGGTGACCCATGTGGGTCAGTCAAAGGGTAAAATGTTTTAACATCTCAAAGTTTGGTGTGGCCCCAAAGGAAAAAGCAAGCTTTTCATCTAAATTGGCTTTTAAAACTGTATTTGGTTCTGGAAGATACAGGGTGGATATCATGGGCTAGGTATGTTTTATTTCATACATCATCTGGAAGGAACATTTATAGACTTTTGTTGCATTGTGGAAATGGTATTGAATGCATCTTTCACATCAGATATACTTCTGAGATTAATGCAGACAGCAGCCTTTAAATACATCTGTTGCATAGAATCAAGTTCATGTCTGTGGACAGCAGACAGTTCTCTGAATTTATAAATGAAATGTTTTCAAAGGAATAGTGGAACGCATTCTGAGAAGTCTTTCTCAGAATACAACCTTGATTTTATGCATCAAGATTTTATATAACTACATAAAATCAATTCTATATACTTATATATGTGTCTTGGTCATACAGTTTAAAGCAGCGAGTCAGAACAGGGATGAAGCTGCTGTTCATCACTCTGTTCTGTGGTGTGATTCCCAACTGTGAGAATACACTTTTATTTTTTTTAAATTTCTATGGAAAATTGAGACAATAGTAAATTAGTCTTGCTCTAATCCAGAGCAATTTATTGTGCTTAAACTTGCAGTGTGTACGCCAGTATCACCGAGTGCTTTATTTAAACCATCCATGCTCTAGAGTGCTGCTGAGTATGTTGTGATGGGAAACAAGGCAGCATAATTAGTGCTATGTGAATTTACAGCTCAGCCTACTCTCCAGCTCTCTGGACAAGCTTCTTATTTTTTCCTTTAATCTTGTCTCCCCTTGTTTTGAAGTTTAGGAAAGCCTGATTGCAACCCCTTAGCTCTGTATGGCCATTAGTGACAAATGCTCATTAATTTAAGGTTAAGTTTCTGGGAACTTTGCTGTTTCTCCCAAGGTACTGAATCCCAAAATTAATAAACATTTGAATTTCTGGCGTGTTTCATTGCACAACTACATGGTAGTTGTCTCACTTCTTTACAAGTGAAGAGGCTCAGTGCACAGGTAGGTAAAAAACTGGTAAAACTCATAAAATATTGCCAAAACTTCTCAATTTGATATAAAAAAAAACTTGAAGCTCTGCTCCTCTCAATTGTTTATTTGATTAGGAAGGGATTTATTCTTTCTGTCTTTTAATCTGACTCTTGTTGATGAAAGTTGAGCTCTGACCTAAGGTTTTCATCTCTTTGCCTTGTGTGTGATGAAATCTCTCTCTTGATTTACTGTCAGTGTTGTTTGAATAACGCCAAACAGATTTATGGGCTAGCATTGATATTTTCAGCTCACAGCTTGTGCTGGTTGACTAGCAGAATAATCTAGCTCATTGGTTTGTTGGGTATTGCAATGTAAAGTTAGTTGAGTATTTGTGAAGTAAAACTTGATCTGAATAAAATGCAAAGGCTTCCATGTCCCCATGCTGTTGTCAGCTGGCCAATTCAATTTACTTCTTGTCTTATTCAAAAGGAGGCACCAGCAGACTTAACTAGTGAGTCTTTGAAACTGTTTAAAGAGATAAGAGCTGTATTTGGGTTGGCAAGCCACCCTGGCCATGAGGCTGTTGGTGCTGGGCTGTGTATTTTGTGTTCAGAAGCCAAACGTCCTGCTTTCTAATGGAAGTCAGCCAGAGTGCAGCATTGGAAATAAAGCTCCATCAAAGTTGTGTGTTCTGAGCCTGGGGATTTGAGAAGGAAGAACAAGCAGGTTCTCATCTGGGGATGTATTCTCTCCTGCTGCACAGAGTTTATTTTCTAATGAATGGGGAAATCCTTACAGAGCTGAGAGTTCTATGGGAACTTGTGGCTTGACCTTAATGAGTAGTTCTGGTTAATAGTTAGTCCAGCAAGTCTCATAATGCAGGGTTTAAGTAACTTCTGAGACATTGATCCTTGTAGTTATCAAATATTTACAAGTGATGAAATCCCCAGTCCGAACTCATTATTCTTAATCTATCCTATTATTGTTAGCCTTTGTGCAACTTGGTAGTGCCTCAGGTGGCAATTCATCTGAAGACATTTCACAAAAGAGATTAAAATAAATAGTTCTGAAGAACAGGCGAAGCTAAACAAACAGAAGAGGGAAGAGCAGGAAGCCATTCTGGTGCTGCAGAGAGGGAGAGGAAGGGAAGCTAAAGACCTCAAGAAATCTCGGATCAGAGTTTCATATGTAGAAACCACCACCATGCTCTGGATCTTGAGGCACAAATTAGAAAAGAATGTTCATGCTAAGGCTGCTCTTCCTGGGACTGCAATAGAAGACCAATTCATAGAATCATAGAATGTCCAGGTGGGAAGGGACCTTAACAAAATAGTTCCAACCCTCCTGCCATGGACAGTGTTGCCATTCACAAGGTCAAGTTGCTCGTGGCCTCATCCAGCCTGGCCAGCGATGGATCAACCATAGCTTCTCTGGGCAACCTGTTCCAGTTCAGCTATCTCTTGCTTTATTTCTTACCTCTTGTTTCATGACAGGTCTGCTGTTAACTGCTTATTTTACGAACATTTCAATGGTCTGCTTAAAAAAATAAAAATGTGATCTTTATTTTTACTTGACAAACAAGTATTGTGCCACTTGATGTTGTTGTGCTGGTTGTTGGAGAGGTCAGGCGAGGCTCCCTTCATCCCCATTGGATTTATGGGAACGGACTTGTAAGGCTTGCCCTGGGGAGGAAGGGAGTGGTATAAAGAAAGATTATACAGAGTTTTACGTTGTATTTAATGTACATATCCAGAAGACTTAAATAGTATGGCTAGAGGAACCATATTGAGCTGGGACCCTGGAGGGTATAATGAGGAGACAGAGGATTGGGCAGAATGAGCAGAGCTGCGGATATGGCAAAAGAAGTCACAAAGGAGATGAAATTGCATCTTTCTTCTATATTCAGCTTTATTTTTGAGTCTCTGAACCAATTTCAGGGAAGAGCAGTGTGTGGGAGTGTGAGATGGGAGAGTATAAATCCATGGGTAATCAGCTTCCCTGCTTTAACTGCTACAAAATAACTGCTTATGCTAGCTTTGAATTGTAGCATCTCTTGTTAGAGAAAACTAAATTGCCTTGAGCTTGCAGCACTCAAACGATGTTATTTTGTTTCCCAAATTCAGTGGTTGCTCAGGCTGCAGGACATAGGTAGGTTGTCACAGTATTTTCCCTCCTAGTAGGCATCCTAGCCTAGCTAGGATACCTAGCATGCTATGGATTTGCTGTTCTGTAAGGGAGATGCCTGTGCATCTTAGAGCTAATTAGAGCTTTTTGCAATTCTGGCTCCTGCTTCAGTAGGATTTGCTCTTCAGCATTCTATATTTTCACACAATTCATTACTGAGTAAGGAAATTTAGGGTGTAGAAGTGCACTGGAAGACTTTCCACGGTCAGTGCAATGAACAAAAACTACTCCTGCTCAGTTGCTGGCATCCTTGGAGCTACTGCCTTCCCATGCAAAAAGTGCTTGCTGCATAGGTCCCCTCCCTGTAGAAGATGTGAAGCTTAAATGTGCTCTTATCTTCAGAAGGAAGATACATGCAGAATGTAGATGTATATTTAAAACTGCCAGTTTAGTTTCATACAGATGCCTTCTTTATGCAGGTATGCCATTCTCTGTGGGCAGCTAGCAGAACATGAGAGCATCCAGAAGCGCATTCAAACTGGATATATTTTTAAGGTGAGTGAAAGGAGCATGCTGGCTTGTGTGTGTGTTACGCAGTACTTCTGTAGTAGGGTAAGTTAGGAAGACAGCTCCAGCTTTTAGCAGAGGAGTTGTAGGTCTCAAAGGGATGCTTTTAAGGGGTGTTTTGGATGAGGAAGGTGATTCCAGCAAGAGGTGCTGAGGCTGACTGGTTTCACTCTGCATTTGTGCACACTGTAAAGTCAGAAAAAAGATGAAGAATAAAAGTCTTGCAAGTAAAATACAATCCCAGTGAGAACTTCAGATGTGAAATTATCATATGGTAATAAGATACCAACTTTTCCTGCCTGCTTGCACCCTCCAGTAAGTACCAAATAATGAATTTTCAAAGGTGGCTCATCTGCTTCAGGTTCTTAATTTGCCTTTCAGCCAAAACTGGGATGTTGCAGGGAAAGGAGATGCACCAGTTGCTGCAGAACTGGCCACATAAAATTAGTGAGTTGGCAGCTATTCACATAACCACTAATTTGGTTATGTCAGGTTAGGAAAAGGAGGTAGAATAAAGTGAAGGGCAGCTTCTTTTTTTTTGCATGCAGTAATTCTTTTTTCTGATAAAATGCTCATTTGGGGTTCATTGAAACATTTTAAAGAAAATTTGGAATCTCTTGGTCGCTGTAGTTTTCCTGATCGCTGACAAATTGTGGGCTTATTCCTTTCCTCTTTCCATACATACTCATCTGCTCTTGGCTTCTAACAAGAACGTAATGTGTGTTGGTGATAATTTTCCATAGGAACACATTGATAAAGCGATTGCTCTGAAACCTGAGGATCCAAAGTCTTACTACCTTTTGGGCAGGTGGTGTTACCAGGTAAAACAGCTTGTTAATATTGATTACTTACTTCTTCCCTGGAATTTACTTCCTTGTTTGAGTGAAAGCTAGGTGGATTGAAGCCTTAACCAATGAACACAAGGGGTTCCAGCCTTCATATTTTAGTCTCTGCAGGTGGTATGGGAAGTGACATGGCAAGGAATGGACTGAGAAAAGCACTAGCTGCAGACTAGCTTACTGTTTGCCCTCCTTTACTCCGTAAAAACAAACCACCTTTAAACACACATGGATGTGATCCAAGGACATTTTGAGGCTGGCAAGAGCTTCTGTACACAGTACAACTCTATAATTCTTTGCACGTGGTTCCTCTGCTACCCAAGTATTGGCGGTGTTAGAATTGTGCAGGCTGCTTTATATTTCTTGACAAGGAAAAGCTTGGAGTCAAATGCCATAAGTCAGATTTAGTGTCTATAAAAAGAAATAAGGGCTTGCAGTAACTATCTACTTTTTGCTTTATGCAGTTTGAAAGTGCTTTGCTGCTGTCAGAAATGAAGTTAAATCACAGAGATTATAGCCAAGATAATTGACTTGGTTAATTACAGGGGAGCAACAAACTCAGCCAGTGAAAGCTCTTCACTCTGTTCAGAACTTCCTGCTCAGCCTTCCTGCTCTCACAGCTGCAGAAGCTGAGAAACAGAGGCAGATCCAAGTAGAAGGGAGACAGGAGGGCTGCATATGTGCCTTTGCTCTGATACATAGGTGAAAACTGCCAGGAGCTGGTGTGGTTGCACTGAGTAACTTTAGGATTTCAGACCACCCACACAGTTGCCCTGCTGCAATATTGAGTTGTAGAGACAAATCCTGTATTTAACATTATGCATATGGCAGCTGATGGATGAAACTGCAGGAGGTGACTAGCAGTATAGAACAAAGAAAAGCAAATCAGGTTTAAATCCATAGCTGGATTTGGGTGCTTACCAGAATCTGCTGGTACTACCAAGATTTTTGGCTGTCTCCCAGGTGCCTGAAGCAGCTACAAGAAACCAGATAACTCAGTGTCTTTGCATACATGGGTTTGATGGTTTCGTCTTGCTCTCTCTGTAGGTTTTCCACCTGGGATGGCTCGAAAAAAAGACTGCTTCTGCTTTGTTTGAGACTCCTCCTACAGCCACTGTACAGGATGCACTACAAAACTTCTTAAAGGTACTGTAATCTGACACTCAGGGGAATCCCTAACAAATGCAGACTGACAAGTGTAACCACAAGCATGGAATTTGAGTACTTGTGTTCTGCTTAGCTCATTGCTCTCCATGTGCTTCATGATATCTCTCTATTGACTAGAACCTGAAGAGGAAAAACTGGTGGAAGCAGAAAGGTAGGAGCCTCTGTTATAGAACAGCCAGATGGAAGAACATGATTTTCAAGAGCTCAGAACTAGATCCAGAGAATTCCACATATTTTCAGAGGGTTTTGGTTTTCCTTTTCAATGCTGCAAAAGCTGATGAATTCATTGCTTAGTGTTAAGTGCATGTGGCCTGGCTCTTTTCATGATCTTGTAAGATCTGTATATGCTCATGCCTGGGAACACTTGCATAGGTAGTCAGAATGTTTTGTCACTTTAATTTTCCTCGTAATATTTTAATAAAGGCCTCTGAGTAGATTCTCCAGATTTTTGAACACAAATTTTTAAGCTTTCAAAGTCAGATATGGTTTTTTTTTTAACATACATACACCTCTGATGAAATGTTGCAGAAACAAATTGCCCTACCACTATATAACTCATAGGCCAGCAGTTCTGCAAAGTGTTAGGGTTTATCAGATTTTATCAATTTCTTGTCATTGTGCCTAAATGTTAAGAGTAAGTTTGTGGTAGGTAGGTGTCTGCCCTAGGCAGTCTGCTTTTCAGCATAATTTTAGCCAAAATGATTAAATCATTCCACAGCGAAGTTTGAAGCAAAGTGTGTTCTTTCTTCTCAGTAGAGAAAAAAGCTACTTCTTCCTTTGATGAGTTAGAGTGGCTCAGTGGTTTGAAACAGGAATTTGGATTTTTCTGAGCTTTTACCTTTGGTCACGCCCTGAAGAAGTGCACTTCCCATATGCTCAGCAGAGTCCATTTCAGCATTCAGCCACAGTTAGCAAGTTCCAGGGGAATGGAAATCATCTCAAGAATTGCAGCTCTGGGTTACTCACAAGCTGAGCTAGGTCTAAAACCAGACAACATAATTAAGAAGAGGAACACTGTCTGTACTGAGTTCTCATTGCTTGCTCTGATAGTCAGTTTCTGATGTCTTGATTGCATGCACTGTGAAATTTGAATATAAATAGAACACAGGGTGTGCTACAAAGGGTTTGTTTGCAGTGGAACAGGGAAAGTATGAGGGCTTTTACTAATGCAGCCAGTCTAGCCTATGATATATGATATGTATGGACTTGAAAAAGTGGGGCTTCCTCATCTAATAAAGAGATGGAAAAAATTGAAACAGCTTTCAAACTGTTCTTTGCGTATCCTCATATTTGCTTTTCTCTGCCTAACCCTTTCTCTCTGCTGTTCTAGGTTGAGGAGCTAAGTCCAGGATTTTCCAAAGCAGTAAGAGTGTACATTGCCAAGGTAACCTGTCACTTTATTGAGTACAGTTACATGCTCCTGGGATAAGAAATATTCATCTTAAAAAATACACATGCATCTTTGGATGGATTGTTGTACACGAACTTAAATTACTGCATGTAGAAGCAAAATTTTATAAGTTTTGGATTTCTGTGGTGTATACAGGAAGTGCATCATGAGGAAGAAGTAAAGTATTAAATGCATGTCTGTGTTACCAATAAACCTATGTACAGAATTTATTTCATAGTGTCTTGTTAAAGAAAAACAAAGGCGACCAAAGAGGAGAACTCTGTAGGAGATGTGGTGGCCTTGACGCCAGCTGGATCATACACTGTCACTCATCATATCTGCTCAGTGATGAGACTTTGTAAATTAAGTGATGTATATGTAAATCAGCAAGCCTTTTGTTTCTGACAGCTTATGCACACTGATGAATATGCTCTTGATTGCATCTTGCTCTGTTTGTAAATACAGCCAGCAGTCATGCAAATTCAGTCACTCCCTGAATGTCTTGTAAAGAATTGGAACTTATTTTCAGGGAAGCTGCAGCAGCAGCAAATTCTTGCAAATCATGACCTGATGAATTTTCAGAGTTGATGTAAAAAAATCTGGATTTCACAGTGGCTAAATTATAACCTGAATGAGCCAATACTTTATTACTGGGCTCATAGTTCACCGCATGTCTGGCAGATGTGGCTGAGCTTCAGAAGTACTCTGCAAATCAGCATAGAAGTTAATAGAAGTACTTAAACGTATTTGGTTTTGTTTATTGCTATTTTACTCAGTCCCATAGTTGGTCATTTTGGATCACATCCTTCATCATAAAATTCTAATAGTTCAATTTGTATCTCCTTAATTTTCCAGGAAATAGTGCTCTAATGGGTCAGACTTCAAAAGAATAAAGAATTGAGATTTACAGTCACCTAATGATAGTTTTAACTGATGCTTAGGGGCGTGGGACTCCTGAAGGCTCCAAGGATGTCCATGGCACCATCTGTTCTGAATTCAAGAGGTGCAACAATGTGACTGTTTGCAGAGCAGAGAGTTCTCTTTCAGAACTGAAAGAGGAAAATCACCAAGATGCACATACCTTGTTGTCACAATCCTAAAGGAATGCTGGCTTTTTGAGGCAATTGCAACAATGATTAGCTGCTGCCTTTTAGCATCATTTTTAGCTTCCTTCTAGCATGCTGATTTTGCAGTCCTCCATTGCCTCCATGACTCTACGCACCAGAGCCTTTTGTGTTACTTAGAGCTGTCTGTTTCTGTGCTGCTTGAGAAGTTCACGAGGAAAGATATGAAACCTCAGAGACCTGTAAAGATGAGATGTTACAGTGCTTGCACTTGGACCTGATTTTCAAAGGCCTGGAGAGTTAAAGCTTCATCAGATGATATGCTGCCAGTGTTGAGATTTTATGATGAAAGCAGCATGAGGAATGGTGGCTGTGGAAGTGGAAATAAAAATGGTGGAAGATGCTGAAGATCACAGGAGACCTTAAAATCTTTTGCCAAAAAGATCTCCTTGTCCAAAACATAAAAAAAAAAATAAAATCTAATATTCCATAACTTGATGGTGATTATCAAGCCTGAAGCTATTCTGTGTAAATGCCTAAAGGAGAAATAATCCTTTTTTATCAGTTGTCAGGTTACAAAATTGCTCAGTTACTTTCTGCTGCCTGTTTCATCTTTTGTTCTCCCTGTTTAACTCTCCTCACGTTGTCATTTTTCCTTCAGTGCTACAAGGACCTGGGGAACAACTCTGCAGCTCTTCTCTGGATGAACCTTGCTTCAGAACTGCCAGTTAACACAAAAGAGGTATAGGATTATTTTCCAAGAAAGAAAAGAAACCAAAACTAACTTAATGTTGTATGCTTTTGACCCTTCAAATCAAATATGGTTATGTAAAATTCTCTGCATATATATTATGTCGCAAAATTAATCATAGGGAAATTTTTCTAAAATCCCAGTCATTTAACTTAAGGTCAAGACTTTCTCTGGCAGTCTGACTTGGCATGTGTGTTCATTGGGCTGATCAATATTATAGGCTGCATTTGCATTAAGGTGTTTATTGCTAAAGGTAAGCTGAATGGTTTCAATTTAAGACTTTTGATTTTCAATTTAAGCTCTTAATGAAGTATTTTAGGCACTCTGTGAGTTAGATCCAATGAACTGAAGGATTTAGATGTTTTTGCACCTGAGTCATCTAGTAGTTCCTCTCTGTTGCTTTTAAAGCTCTTGGTGCTAGGTTGGCTCCGAAGCTCCTCCAAGCTGGATCAGATCAGTAGTCTGTGTGTGCTGCTCAGCATTTTTTTCTATCTAGGATATTTTAGCTCTTCCATTGCTTTCACAGGGTTTCAGAGAGCAGATTGTACTGCATTTCAGAAAGTGCCATGTGGTTGTGTTTTCCATCTGGGAGCTCTTTTCCACTTTTTTTTTCCTTTGCGCTTTTTCTGTTAAGCTGAAACTGTATAGAAGATGCCATCAAATTAGTACCAGGTAGAAAATACATAAAAGCAGATATCAATCTGTTGTTCTTTGCGTTGTGGAGAAAAATGCAGCGAAGTGACCAGAATCCTCCTGATCTCATGCTTTCAGTGTTAGTCTGATGGAATCCTGGATGTAAGGCAGAAGTATATGCCAGATTTTCCTGCCACTGTGTTTCTAAGGCTTCTGGGTTGCTGTAGCAAAAGTATTGTGCTGAAATTCACAGCACAGGTGTGCAATAGATCTTGGCCCACCATCTATCAGTGCTGACTTGCCTGTGCTACCACCTGCAGGGCACTGGCTAGTACTGCTGCTGGGAAACCAGGGCAGCAAGCAGAAAAAATATCCCTTCTTCCAGAAGGAAATATCCCAGCTCTGCCAGATGAGGAGCCTCCTCACCATCTGCGTCTTAGAAATCATGCCAGACAGAGTTGGAATGGTATATGAGATAAATAGAGGATTTTTTTTCTCTTTATATGTTGGAGGCGTAAGGTGGTGTTGTTTCATCCCAAAGAGGCAATCAAATAATTTCCATCAGACTGAGAAGGGTAAAAAAAAAAAAAAAAAAGGGGGGCATTTGACCAGAGTAGGAGAGTCCTCAAGGGAGCAAAGGTTTGAAATCCGCTGCTCTGGTTTTCAGTTTTCTCAAAAGGAAGCATGAGAGAAAATCTCTTTGATATTTGGAGAATTTTAATAGGCTGCTGAGAGACAAGTATGAAAAGAGGAAAAACACAAGGCTAGACTATACTTAAAATCTGGTGTGGGGCTTGAGAAGAAAAGAGGAATTATCTTTTTTAACTATATTGATTTAGCCTGTGTATTAATGCCTTGTATTGCATTTCCAGGATTCAGAAGCTGAGAGAGAACTTGAGAAGATGCGATGTGCCTTGGAAGAATAAGAGCAGAAGAGCTCATTCCACTCAACACTGCACAGACAATAAAATTCCATTGAAAGGGGTTTCATGATTCTAGCAAGTTTGGTTGCACAGCATGGATAAGCCAGAGGAGCTGCCAGGAGGACACACTCAACAGTCTCATCAGCACTTCCAGGGAAGCATCTCGGTGGGATTTAATGAGATAAAATCTTGTGTTATTTTCCTATTGAGAGCACAACATATGTTTGCTCGCTTTTAAAATTCCTTAAAAAAAAAAAAAAAAAAAAAAAAAGAAGGCCAAATAGTCAAAAAATCAACCAGATATTAGCATGTAGGAGTATATATATGTACACACACGTGTGTGTATAATACCTGAGTTTCAGATCTGCTTGCTGATGAGCTTCCTGGGGAAGTCCTCAGCAGATAGTTTTCTCTAATTTGACTGTTTTCTCTTTTCCTTTCTAAAACATCCTCATTGAATCAATTGAAATAACTGATTGCACCTTTGCATAGATGTCCTGCGGAGAGAAAGGTGAGAGTCAGTGGGCACTGTGAGGCTGATTTTTAGCAACCTGATGCACTGCAGGTTGTGGGAGTTCCTCACTTCCTTCAGTCTCTTGTTTCAAATCGACACTGACACAATGGCTTGAGGAAAGGCCACTGCACAAAAAAGACTACATTGACTTAAAATAAGTGAGTTGCTGTGAAAAAACTGATGGTGATGTCCAAAATACAGTCCTGTTGGTCCTGTCTGGTTATACCTAAACTACCTTCCTGGTTTTCTGTTGAGGAGAAACCAGCACTGCTCGTTACAGTGAGAAAATACTGAGGAACCAAGAAGATCTTATGCACAAGAAAAACTTTATTTTTAAGAAGTGCATGTCAGAACAGCAAGTAATGAGGTTTTCAACTTCAGGACTTTCTCCTAGTGACATCACTCACATGAGAGCGAAAACTTGGTGTGTCCCTCCAAACTATGCAGCTATGGTTTAGATATAATAGCTTAGCAGTTGTTTATCAGTGTAACACTGGTTACAGGAACAGGAATACTCTGTGGCAGAGCTGACGCTTTGCTGTGTATTCCTCCAGTTCTTGTTGACGAATGCACTGGCACTGAGAAAACGGAGTTGGCAGCTGACATTTTCTCAGACAGCTTCTGGGTACCAAACAGAGAAAGTAAACTTTGCTGTATGCTGACAAAAAGGGTGAAAAACAAAAACAATGTTCAGAAATTTCCCAAAGACTTGAGCAAGGCTTGCTTTATATCCTAGCACATTTCAGCTTTTCCCCCTTGATGTTACTTTCATAAAGTAGATGTTAGCAGACTCAAGCTCACAAACTTCCCAGTTTATATATTTGACACTTTTCAGCTATTTTTATTTTGGTCCAAATAGAACTCTACGATTTGGATTTGCTTGAGACTATACATATGATTCTTACAAATAGAGAACTGAATTCTGCCAGGCTGAATCACTGGATCTTTGCCAAAAGATACCAGCAATCCAGAGCTTTTCTTATTTGCAGGCCTTCACCTGTTGTCTAACTCTTCAAAATGTAGAACATTAGAGGTGATTTTGAATTAGATTTACATGCTGTGTTTTCAAAGATGCAATTTCTTTTTGTTCTTCGTTTCTTTCTTGCTTAATATCTGTTTCCATACAGTGAGCAACCATAAGTTTGAGGGAAGAAAATGCTGGTCTGTTTTTCTGCTTTGTGCTTTGGATTCTGCACTGGTTAGGTTTCAGTCTTTCACACTGTGTATTCTTTGGGGTGATGATGTAAATCCCCTTAGCTTTAAAAGGGTCATGGATGAGGTTCAGTTACTTGTCAAGGTGACATGTGGATGGAAGGATGTCTTCAGATGGTAAGTAGAGAGCTAGGAAAACAGAGCTTTGGGTTACAGACTAAACAAAGCCTGTTTGGAAACAAATGCCAAAGTCTTGTTTTTCTTACTGATAGAAGTTGAAGTGAGGGAATCTCTTCCTCGTGTCTGTACTTCAATAGCTTTTAAGCAATGCAAAAACCAAGACTTCTTTAATTTTGCACACAATTTTTAAAACTCTGCAGATTAATCCCTGAGTACAATGTGAATTTCTCAAAGGTGCCTGCACTGTACACTCCCAGGAGTTGGATTTTCATAGTAAAAGACTAGATGTTCTTCCAGGCTTATCGTAGGGTAAGACAGAACAATTTCCTGAGCTAGGCTGACTTTGGAAACACACCTCCCTGTGGCTAAACTATGATACTATAGAATAACTGAAGCTGTTTAACTAATTTATCCTCACTGTGCTGGTCTGTTTGAGATAAGGTATTTGCAATTAAGGAGAAAGCCATCCTGCTTAAAGTTTCCTGTGTCACTGTCTTGCTTGTTGTGTTGGTACGCAGACAGGTAAAGAAACCCAACAGTCAGGAGGAAGTCTTCTAAAGTATTGTGGTGTCTATTGTATGTGTGGTGGTGTGCTGGAATATTATGGGAAGGTAACATATAAAATTCTTGTTTATATATCACTGTTTATACATATGTTTGTAACTGTGTGGGTTACGCCTCTAATACATTTTGTATGTAAATACCATGACTACTGTTTATGTTTCTAAATTGCACCAAAGTAATACAGCCACAAGTTATGGTGAGCAGTGTGCTCCAGGTGAGGTTGTTTTTCAATAAATGTGAGTGATCAGTTGTTACGAAGTCTAAATATTCTGTGCTCCGCTTTCACAGCCTGAAGCCATCTCCACCTGCTCCAGACAGAAGCCATAAACAAGGGGCTTAGCATTGCTTTTGAGTGTTTTAGACCTCCTGACAACTTTTATTTCATTGTGTTCCAAATTACTTTGCTGAGTTGAGTGAGTGAGTTATAGCCCTAGCCGTACTTCTTGATTCCTTAAAATTCACTGAACTGAGGAGTACTGATTGATAGCATAGTTGCACTAAAGAGTAGGTATAGTGGGAAACAATATTTGGGCTGCCTAATGGAGTAGATAGGAGTGATTTGGCTGTGTTAATTTGCTTGCGCATTAGTCGCATACCATCCCTGGGAGAGGGACGTTGGAGCTATGTGCAATCACAAGTACAAAGGAGGTCCTCTCCCAGCAAGCAATTGATAGAATCATAGAATCATTGATATTGGAAAAGACCTCTTAAGATCTTGTCCAACATTCGACCTCTAACCACAACCCCAAGTGCCACACCTACACATTTCAAGAAAACTTTGTCTGTCCATGGTAAATTAGGACTGGATTCAGCCTGCAACTTCTCTGTAATCTCATCCCTTTTGTTTTCTTCTTAAAGTGAAATTGTAGCGTCTTCTAGTGCACTGAACCACCTTACAGAGCCCTGTGGCACTGAAGGCAGCAGCCCAGGAGAGGACTTGTAGGTACACTGTTGTTCAACATAAATCTCTAGGACTCTAGAACCCCTAGAAGACTTTTTAAGTGACATTTTGCAATACTTGACTGTTAGCAATCAAATGAGTGCTTTGTCTGCTGCAATCATACTTGACCATGGGTAGGAAAACACAGCTTGAAAAATATTTTTGAATCACATCAACATCGCAGAGAGGAGGTCAGCACTGACCCATAGGACTGGGTTGCCAGTTGAGGACAAGGGATTTAAAAACAGGCAAGTTCTGTTTGGAAGTTGATTTCCAATAATTAGAGCATACCAGGGCAGTGACCACCTCCTCAGTGTTCTGGGAAACATCTGACTCAATATCGGAGTAGGAATGTCAACACTGCTTCCTACCAGGAATGGCGCAGTCATTCTGACTCCCACCTTGGCTTCAAGATTTCTGCGAAGTCCAAATTTTTTTGTTTCAATGACATCTGCAACTCCTTGGAAATTCCCTGGCAAAGGCTGACCTGCTGAGATCCTTGGTTTGAGGGAGACCCTGAAATGGGAGGATTGCAATAGGCTTGCCTTGCCATCTTGTTTTTTACAGCAAGTCTTACCGACATGTGGCAAACCATTGGGTTCATGTAGGTGAACTGTCATTATTTTCCTTAGAGTAATATTTAGCAAAGGCCCATTTCAGAGTCCCCTGAGTATTACAAAAAACAAAGTTTTTTTTGCAGTAGTACATATGTTGACTTTGCTGATGTTGGCATACAAAGCGCACATAATGAAACCAGGCAAAATTTAGGGGAGAAAGGATAAATGTGAACACTGCTACTGTTTGCTGTAGACCTGTGATGCTTTCACAGGTTTTGCATATGCAAGCATGCAGTCTCAGTTGGGCATGCAAACATGATCTCAAAAACTTAAGAGAGATTAGTTCTCTGAGTGAGATTTATTTAAATATTGCTTTTCCCAAAATATAAACATGAGAAGGGCTCAAAGGCTATGAAGGAAGACAAGGCAATGCAAACCTGGGGACAGAAAGTCCCCATCATTATAAATGCATCCCATAACAAAGGTCAGCTTCCTATTTACTGGGCTAATGTCAGCTTGACTGATGGAGAAGTTAAAGACCCTTTAGATCAGGTTTAAATAAATCATCTATGAGAAGCAGAAGAGGCTCCGGGATTGGCGTAGACTCTGTTCTGGGTTGTTTACATACCTGCAGACAATTATTTAGAAGGAAAGATTAATTTCTGATCGCTTTTCTTCTTAATGAATGGGTTAGTTCTGCAGCTGGATCTCTTGTGCATCTTCTGCTAAATAATAAAGATCCTATTCCAGCATTTCAGTATCTTGAAAACTGTGGGGGAAGCTGTGCAGCACCTGCTTGCATGCGACTATGACCGTAATTGTGGATGAGGAGTAGGAAGGGGTTTGGACACAGGGGACTGTAAATAACGCATTTCCTGGCATCGCGCTTCCAAAAATCTATTTCCTGGCAGCGTCTCTCTCTAGATTTGAGAAATGGGGTGGTCAAAACATTGCAAAATCATTTGAGGAAGTGCTGTAAGCAGCTTCCACCCCCCTGTGAGCTGCAGCTGCACACTTTGCACAGCGCTGCCGCCAGCATGCAGTCAAGAATAATTTCAGGACACCGTCAAACACGTCAAACATCCATCTGAGTGGATGCCTTTGCTTTGTGCCAATTCCCATTAGGTTACAGAGGGCATCTTGGTTCTGTTGACCATCACAGCATCTGTGGTGGATAGCAGAGGTGTGAAGCAGACTTGGAAATACCTACATGCTCTGAGATGCTGTCAAGAGGAGGGCTAAATTGGTAAGGATGTATTCAAATCTTCCCAGATAATTAAATCTCATATTTGGTAAAACTTCTGGAGGAAGATGAGTTTGCTGTTGGTAAATTGTTGTCATTAGGAGGTGTTGTCATTAGGAGTTCCTTGGGGTGACTACACTGTGGTGGCACGAGGTGAGCATGACGGTAGCTTGGGTGGAGACTGTTCTCTGTTTTGGGATGGTGTATCTTCCTATTTCAGAGCCAACTCTATTAACTTTGGTTGGACGTGTTCGCCTGCATTATTTTTAAATATGTGTAAGAAAGACCACGCGATGGTTTTGGTAGCATACAGGCAATAGACAGTTACCCAACCACACAGTACCTGTACAAAAGAATGGTGACCCTCCAGAAAAGAGGATTTCTCTACAGGTCCGGGTTGTGCTTCCAGATGACGTTCAGGAACATTTAGGGGAACAAAAAATCTTGTTTTTGGAAAGGGGCCATGTCCCATTTCAGCTAAGCATCTCAATGTAAGCTGACAAGTGGCTCTTTCTACTTAAAATTTAAAGGTTCATAGAGGAGAAATAAAATTCCCGAATTGTTTCTCTACTCCAGCAGATGTACTCCCACCCCCTTCAAAACTCCTTCCACTTATATATATAAGTTGTACTCATATATATGAGGTAAGAGTAAGTAAGTGCTACCTTGGACTTCAGGAGGGCGGACTTTGAATTGTTCAAGGGACTAATAGGGGGAGTCCCCTGGCATTCAGTCTTAGCGAGTAAAGGGGTCCAGGAGAGCTGGTTGCTCTTCAAGAAGGAAGTCTTAAGGGCGCAGGAGCAGGCAGTCCCCCTGAGCTGCAAAATGAGCCGGCGGGGAAGAAGACCGGCGTGGACTCGCTGTCAGAATGGTCATAGCGGTGGCCAAAGCAGAGAGCACAGAGGACATCGGTGTTGGCCACCACTAAGAGCAGGCAGGGCTGGAAATAAGCACCACCATGGCTGTGCCTCCGGAAAAGCTGCGCCAGGTCACCTGCCTCGGCCGCCACTGTGCCACTCCACATCGGCCACCGTTGAACGAGCCCTTAGGGCAGCATGGGCCAGCCGCCACTGTGCCTGCCATTGGGGTGAGCAGCTCCCAAAGGTGACGCTGCGCCCACCAGACACCAGCCCGAAGGAAGGGAAGTCAGGCTGGCCGGCAAAGCATGTGCCCAGCCCCATCAATGCCTGCTGGATGCGCCACCTCACCATCGAGCACCACCACCCGCTGCTGGCCCAGGTGCAGCTGGAAGATGGCTCCATAGTGGCACGCCATGTGCATGAAGGTGAGGTGGGGCAGATGGCCCAGCTGCAGGACATTGCCCACCAGAGGCCACGCAAAAGGACCCACCGGTGGGATCTGGCCACAAGTGGCCTTGTGGAGAGTCCTGGCAAGCAGCAGTATGGCAGTGAGCACAACGGCAATGAGAAGGGCAGAGAGAGGTGACAGCACCAGAGCTGTGGCCGCACCTTTGGGGGTCCCCATCGCACTCACGGCTGCAGCTGCTCTGCATGGAGGCTGAGGATCAGCGCGGCTTTATGGCTGCCTCCAAGATGGGCCAAACCTCTCTCCTCCCCCCAGGAGGCTGCTGTGGGCTGGGGAGGGAGAACACGGGCGGAGCCACCCCAATGAGACACATGGAGATGGGATCATGGTAGAGAGCTCCAAGTTTGGGTGTGAGAAGGGAGCGGGGTCCAGAAGGGGCTGTGAGTGGGTGCGGGGTTCAGGGAGCAGCAGGGTGCTGACAGCAGTCAGAACTTTATCATGGAGCTTGCTAGCATCACCCGTATCCTCCCTGAAAGTATTATGGACCCATGTGGGGTGGGTGATGCTACATATCCCTGTCCCCCTGTGGAGTTTTTCTTGCTTTATTTTTCCCACTCGTGATTGCAATTGTGGCTCTGGGCTTTGCAGCTGGATTCAATCATCTCAGTGCAGCTTTTGGCAGCTTCATCACCAAACCTGAGCATCTCCGCTTCCCAGAAGGCATCAGATTGCAGAGGTGAGCTGCAGGATGTGGGGTGGCTCTGGGGACATTGCTTAGTGGCTCCAGAAGGATGATTTCATTGTCTTGTCTGACTCTGAGCAAGGCTGATACTTGCATGTAATGTCCCCTGGGCCAAGAAAAGGCAATTTTCCATGGTAAGGGGAAATTAATTCTGCACAAATAGAGTGAATTGGGCTGCCTGGAGCTTTACAGCATCTCTGGCTGTTTACTATCCCAAAAAACAGCAAGCTGAGCCAGCTTGCTTCCTGCTACTTTTTCTCATAACCCCAACCCAACTTGGGGACAAAACCAAAAAAAAAATAGCTTTAATCAAAACTTTGGGGCTTTCCATGCTCGTCCCCAAACTCTTCTTTAGACTGCTCTGATTTTGGCTTCTCCTTCCTTATAGCAACACTCCAGCTCACTCCTTCTGCTTCCATCCCTGTTGAATGTTATACAGCTGCCTCTCCTTGACTTTGATACTTACTCTCATAATGATGCCTTGGTTGCTCTCTCTGATGCCATGTGTTGTCCCCAGACCATGATGCTGCCTATTCTAGCATATAATATATAATAATATAATGTAAATAATACAATACACCACCTCTACAAAAAAAAAAAAACAGAACAAAAAAAAAAAAAAAAAAAAAAAAAAAAAAAAAAAAA